CCATTACACACACGCCGACGTACACCGCGCACACATTACACACACGTCACATATATGCGGCAAGCACGCACATTCGCGACTAGAGCACATAGGAAACAAGAAATGCTATAAGCTTATTGACATTTCTAGCAGGACACCGCGGCGTTGCCCGGGAAATAATAGCGCCCTCAGTGCGTGACCAACTCTGGCTTGTTACCCTCTCACGTCTTGCTCCCGCGCTCATCTCCCGCACTTCTCTATTCATCTAGTATACTTATCTATCCATCTATGTATGTATGTATCGTATTTATGTATGTATGTATGTATGTATGTTGTATGTATGTATGTATTGATATGTATGTATGTATGTATGTATGTATGGATGTATTGTATGGTATGTAACTGTATGCTATGTGAATGTATGTATGTATGTTATGATGTTTATGGTATGTATAGTATGTTTGGTAATGTATGTATGTATTGGTACTGTATGTATGTATGTATGTATGTATGTATGTATGTATGTATGTATGTATGTATGTATGTATTGTATGTATGTATGTATGTATGGTATGGTATGTATGTATGTATGTATAGTAGTGTATTGATGTATGATATGTATGTATGTATGTATGTATGTATGGTATTGTATGTATGTATGTAATGTATGTATGTATGTATGCTATGGTAGTATGTACTGTATGTAGTGTATGTATGTATGTATGTATGTATGTATGTATGCTAATGTATGTATGTACTGCTATGTATGTATGTAATGTATGTATGTTATGATATGTACTGTATGTATTGTATGTATGTATGCTATGTACTGTATGTATGTTATGTATGCTTATGTATGTATGTATGTATGTATGTTATGTATGTATGTATGTATGTATGTATGTATGTATTGTATGTCATTGATATGTATGTTATGTATGTATGTATGTATGTATGTATGTATGATGCTATGTATGTATTATGTATTGTATGTACTGTATTGTATGTATGCTATGTATGTATTGTTATGATATGTATGTATGTATGCTATTGTATGTATGTATGTATGTATGTATGTATGTATGTTATGTATGGTATGTATGTATGTATGTTATGTATTTATGTGTGCGTGCTCGTGTGTGCGTGCGCGTGTGTGCGTGCGCGTGTGTGCGTGCGTGTGTGTACGTTAAAACGTACAATAAAGCGGGGCTGTTTTTGGGCATTTATGTGCGCGCCTGCGTATCTGTCAGTCTGTCGGTGTACTCGGTATAAACAGCTTACATCCGTATACAGGTAGCATATCCAGAGAGACATGATACAAGATTGCGTGGCACAGCTACACATTAAGCGTCGTAAGGAGCGTGTTAGTTAGGGTACGAGTGGCTCCGTGCATGTCTTGGTGCTGATGGCACAATCGGGTTAACTCCAACACAATTCGAATTAGCGGGAGTGTGACGGCAGGGCAGGCACCTGCCGCTCAGGGCCGCCGGGACCACGTCGACATCACGCAAATGCTTCTAGGTAAGCTAGTCACACGTCGGGCTGGCACGTGGCTCGCATATTCAACGTGGGTGGGTGGTGGGGGGAATCCGATCGGCGGGACGCCCATACGCGAGCTCTTCTCTATATATACGTGTGCGTGCGCGCGTGGGTGTGTGCGTGCGTGTGTATGTACGTGCGTGTGTATGTACGTGCGTGATCGCATATATGACGGTGACGTCTGCAACAATGGGTATCTGATTAAAGCGCCGACTGAGTACACGGCCGCTTTCGGCGCCCAGAGATCAAACACCAGCTAAAGAGTTGCGCACCCTATATAACCACGAGCTTACGTTATCCTTTATCACGGCCGCCGCCACGTGGTCGTATTTACTCTCCGCACGCCTGAAGCCGTGTCACAAATCGCAAAAAGATTGGCGGACAGAGCCGTTTGCCTGCTGAGTGCAGCATCAAAGCAAGCGGGATAACTCGTTAATAATATACACTCTCGGCTTCTAAAGCTCCATGTAGCTCGCGTTTCTACACATGTCATTCACGAAGCGTCCGTAGAGTCGATTGACGCAGTAGCGCATAGACATTGCAATGTCCATATTAACTACATCTTGTGCCAAGCGACGTTATGATATGCAGCGCATGTAGGGCACGTCACTGAAACATTAGCGACATCATGTGTCCTCCTGCGATATGATACTTATTCAACGTACGTAACTCCGACATTCATAACATCTAGTGGCAATTCGCGCTATAATTTGTTGTAATTAAACGCGATGCGGTTTCTGCAGTCCTATGTCGAACGATAGAGGTCGCTGCGAGCATAGCGCGGCTGTGACGTCGCCGCGACAGGTCATCGTGTTCTATGGAGAGCTAGGGGAAGCGGAATTATTGAGGCGAACAGGTGTCATCGCTGGTCGAAGACGGCAATTATTGTGCGCGCTGGGTATTTAGTCGACATTAACAATCACGGGGTTTGCCGGCGCGTACTCCGGGGACGGTCGGGCTCAGGTGCGAATCCACCGTCGGCATTATTGTCTAGTTAGCACCGCGCAGGTAATGCTCCTCGGCGAGGAGCGATTGTGTGCCGTGAACTGTAACGCGGCGCTGTTCACTAGCTGCTTAAGTTGCTGCTGTTGCTGCTGTTGCTACAGCTACATATGATGTTGCTGCTGTTGCTGCCGCTGCTATAGGTGATGCTGCTGCTATTGCCGTTGCTACTACAAGTGATGCTGCTACTGCTGCCGCTGCTATAGGTGATGCTGCTGCTGTTGCCGTTGCTACTACAGCTGATAATACTGCTGTTACCGCCAACTTATATAATAATATAATTATACGGTATCGGCGCAGAGGAGACGTGTCTCCCATTGTCGCAAAAAATCGCAAAAACCTCGTTCGAAGCGTCCAGCGCGTCTGGCGACGCGCGCGCGCGCCCACACACGGCGGGGTGCGGGATTACAGTTACTGCCAATCACAGGCGGGCACGCGCGTCCGATGCCTGCAGCGCTAACTAGCAGCGTCTACTTACCATTCCACCGCCGCGTTGTCGACGTGTCGCGCGCGTAGGTGTCGGCATGAATTCCTATACACAGCCTTTTCTGCGCGCTCTCGCCCAGTAGAAATCACACGATGACGTCGGTCGGATGGGCCGCGCGTATTCATAAATAGATTATTATTATTATTATCACGGAATAATATTTATACATTCGAATGCTGATACGGTCTGTGTATGTCTCACCCTGCGGCCGTGTGCGTGGTGTGTGTTTACGGCTGGTGCATGGGCGGACGGGCAGACGCGCTCACGCGAAATATCGAATCAGATTTAGAATCTGTCGATTGTTGACGCTGAAGATGCGTCGCTGCAGAAGCAGCGATGCGACGTTTATCCGTGATTACGTGTGCGACACCGCGACAAGTCGCGTCACGGCGTGTGACACCGCGACAAGGCGCGTCACGGCGCGCGACACCGCGTCAAGCCGCGTAACGGCATGCTACACCGCGACAAGTCGCATCACGGCGTGCGACACCGCGACAAGCCGCGTCACGGCGTGCGACACCGCGTCAAGCCGCGTATCGGCGTGTGACACCGCGACAAGCCGTGTCACGGCGTGTGACACCGCGACAATGCGCGTCACGGCACGTGATGTGTGTGGTGTGTGCTATTGATGTGATATTGGTGTGATATTGGTGTGAGTGTAGGTGTGTGTAATGTAGGTGTTTTTAGGGGGTGGGGTGTATGTGCGCGTGTGTGCGTGCGCGTGTGTGCGTGCTCGTGTGTGCGTGCGCATGTGTGCGTGCGCGTGTGTGCGTGCGTGCGCGTGTGTGCGTGTACACACACAAGCACACACATGCACAACACACGAACGCACGCACGCACGCACGCACGCACATACACACATTTATAATCATGCATATACAACCCTAGACTGGCACTGTAGTTTTAACCTATCGCTCCACTCTACACGCCCCCCCCTCACGAAAGTAGATGCGCCACAGTCCGTAACCATCTGACAGACGCATGTATGGCTGCCTGTCTTCCCGCTTTTTTCTCAGCTGGTTTACTCGCTGAGACAAACGCCGAGGGCTCTCAATGCACAAAACGGAATAATATACTGCAATAAACAAAAATTTCAGACGTCGATCCAGGAAAGCCGCCGATGCAGACAGCGTGCTAGCTATAGGTCTGTCTGAGCAGCTCGCTAAACATATTCAGAGATTCATCAGACGAACATAAAGAGGAACGACAATGTCAACATTAATAGCATTTTCGAACGTCAGCCTCTGGTTGCAGGCTATAGTGAGAGCTCGCGCGTTGTTAGTGCCTCGTGCGTTGATAAGTGTCGGCAGACGTGAATCACAGCGTGCGGGTGAAACCCCCCGATGTTTGCGCCGCGTGCCTGCCGTGCGCTATCCACACGCGATGACTCACGCGCAGCTCGACTCGCTCACGCGCGAACCCGTCGGCTGACGTCACGATCACGCGTCGCCTCCGTGACGTCACGTCCGCCCGTCAGGCGATCCCGCCATCTTGTTTATCTCGCTCTTCGTCTCGTGCGGTCCGCGCCGGATCCTGCGTCAGATATATATCTCGAATTATATTACATTTCAGCTTATTCATATATTATATTATTATAATATTATTCACAATATTATATTTCAGATTTACATTATAATTTCAGGTTCTACTTTCTTTCGCATTTATATGATCGTTTCAGCGTATATTATGTTTATCTGTATATCACGATTTCAGTATATCGCTGTAATATCGCTGCCAAGCATTTATTACCATCATTCGAAGGCAGTCCGCTTAAAACCCCGACCATTCTTTTCATAGGAGCTCGACCGTCTTCCTATAACTATTATAATGTCAGATTAAATCATCAAATTCCCGAAAATCAGTCCGAAAAAATGTCGCATGCGTGCGCTTATCAGGAATCCGGTAAAATCTCATTGAAACGATCAGCGAAGGCAGCTATTTACGAAAGAATTTCATTTATTTCGTTAATTCGTTACTTTCGTTTACCACAGATTGGCGGACAAGGTTAACCACAAGCAGTAAGATGCATTCGTCCACACGTGCTGTCATGGCGGTCATACTCGTCCTCGCGCTGATTCTACACGTGACGTTGTCGATGCCAGCCGAATGCAGCGGCCCGAATGTTTCCGAGAGTGCCCTACGCATGTGCTCCTCTCTTCGCGCTCTCTACCGGACGCTAGACGATATCGTCGAGCGCAAGCGTAAGTGAACGATCTGCATGTATATTCTTCTAGACGTTTACCTTCGTTGTTAGTCGTTGTTTACGAAACAGAAATATTATTTATTCATAGGAAAAATGTACGGTGTAGTTGCCGATTATTAGAAAGAGGTCCCATGGCTTGATAATCACGCCGCCTGGTGGGGAAATTATGCCAGATGGCTGTTTACTGTTCCGAAGTTGTTGCTCTGATAAAATGAAAGCGAATTGATTCTAATAGAGTCTTTAAGTATAAGTCATTTATCTGAAATAGTCGTTCGCTGAGCGAAACATTTATTCAAGATTCAGTGCCCGCCCTCTCTCGGCGTGGTTTCTAACTTAAGTCGTCGCGCAGTGTTTTTTTTCTCTCCATTTTCCACTATGTTAATTCCCGCCCCATCTTATAATATGACGTAACGTAATCAGACGGGCGGTTAATATCTCGCGTGCTAATTACTTCGCGATGACATCATCACCGACGACAACGCCATCTTGTGTCCTGCTTTCCCTCGCCACCGTGCTCTGTCTAGCGTGCAGGGACGGGTGGCTGGCCCCTGCGCGTGTGATCGCCGTACGTAGTCGGAGCGGAAAGTCTGCCCACGCTGCGTGTCGTTACGGCTTTGTTTTATCTCGCGGACGACGGATAATTGTTCGCGACGAGTGTGTCACGTGACGCACGGCTGAGCTCACGTGACGATGGACACTATCATCTCTCATAGCCACACGAAACTACGGCGCTGCTGGTACCGCCACTAGGCGCGTTCACACGGACGTTTTTGGCCCGAGCCTAATTAGGCCCGTGCCAGATTTGGCTCGAGCCGAGCGTTCACACGGACGTTTTTGGCCCGAGCCTAATTAGGCCCGTGCCAGATTTGGCTCGAGCCGAGCGTTCACACGGACGTTTTTGGCCCGAGCCTAATTATGCCCGTGCCAGATTTGGCTCGAGCCGAGCGTTCACACGGACGTTTTTGGCCCGAGCCTAATTATGCCCGTGCCAGATTTGGCTCGAGCCGAGCGTTCACACGGACGTTTTTGG